CATTGCCCACAGTGTAGTTGTTCCAAACTGCGTTGAAGAGCTAAAAATTAAGTAACATTTGTAAGGGAAACAGGTCAATTTAGCTCAAAGGGAATCATTTAAGATTTTAAAGGGAATTTGGACCGAATCACTGTTTTACGGCTGATCACTGAGACGGCCAGCGATTCATTGAACGAGCCGTATGACATCAATTCTGCAATTTATGAACATCCTGTTGTCTTAGGCCTCTGTGGAATTCGGCTCCTCGTGTTTCAACCATGTTTTGACCAAATCTTAGATTGTCTGATTCGGTCTGATATCCTACACATTTTTTACAATTAAAAATAAAAACACAAAATGAAAAAGCACAAACTCAGGATTGCAAAGATATAAGCTAGGCCTATATATTATTGTTTAGCTTTTGTTTATGGTGTAATTAAGTTGTAAAAAGCCAACAAACAAACAGGCATATGTCTTTTTGTGTGTGCATGTGTGTGTGTGTGTGTGTGTGTGTGTGTGTGTGTGCCCAGCATGATGTGAAACGCTTCTCACCATATACATGTGTGACGGGTTTTAGAGGTTCGTCTGACTTTCTGCGATGAGATAAAGGCTGTTGAACATTTGCGTGAGAAGAACTGAAGAACGCGCGCTTCACATGCACGTCTCAGCGCAGGTAGGCTATGTGGAACTAATACTGTTGTGTGCGTTAGATAATATGAGCTCATGTGCAGATTTAAACATGCTGTAACATTTTACAAGACTCGTTCAAAAACCACTGAACATCAATGTAATCCACATTTTCTTGTTACATTTCTCATTGTATCAGAAACTTTTTTCATGGATTTTATTTGCTGCACGAATAAAACATATAACAGGTACTTGAAGACAAACAACACCTTGTTGAGTCGACACGGCTAATAAATACTACAAATAAACATTAAATAAACTACTGTTAATTCATAGAAAATTTAATTATTTATCTGTATTATTTATTATAATATATATTTTTACATTAAATATACGTGGAGTAGGCTACGCTGAAGAGAGAATAAATGATGGCTGCCACAGCTCACAGTGAATTGTCGTTGAAAGCGGGTTCACCGCTTCAGTAACCAAGGACAGTTTCCCTCTGTCTGGGAGCCTCTGAAGTGGGCTAATAGTTTGCTGTCATTCCGAATTTTGCTGCGTGGATTCTTTCCCTCTCTTCCCTCTCAGTTTTACGCTCCAATGTCATATAGCCTATGCCGCCGTCTAATCATTATCCGTTACTCTTAATTAACAACTACTAAAATTTTTTTTACTAACGTGTGTGTGTGTGTGTGTACCTGGTATTCCCTACGTTATGGGGTGCAAATGTTCCCAACAAGGATAGTAATACCCGTAAATTTGGCTTCCATGAGGAAAACAGCATATAAATCATACTGAATGAAGTGTCTTAAAAAGGAGGGAGGGTTTGAGAAACTTCATAGAGTTTAGAGTTCAGTTATGTTGGGATTTAGATCCGTTTCAGTTACATTGCGTTATCATCGTGGTAAAGACAAGAGCTTTTTTAAGGCTGAGGGCAGATGTAAACTTTATTGGATCAAATCCTATCAGGGAACCATGTAAAATCACTTTGAGACTTCTTAATGTGGTCACTTCAGAATAACTTAATTTGACATTGTGCAAGTTATGTGATCAAATTATGTTTGTGTTACTCAATTAATTCATGTGGAACTGATGCACATGATTAAACCATGTAAATCCAACACTCTGGCGGGGGTGCCGTTTATATGACATTTATATGGCACTTGTGCATTTTAGCTGTTCATTTACCCAACAACAGCGTATTGGGGGCCTCAAAATGTAAACTTTTAAAAATGGGTTTCAAAGTGAAAATTTTAGAAACCGAAATACCACTATCATAAACTACAAAAATATGAATTTGTGAAAATGATGTCATGTGTATTATGTTTAGATATGTGTGCAAGCGTGTAGGGTTTCTTTACAAAGTAACATTGCCAACTACTGGCCTGGCATGAATAATACATGTTTTTAGTAATTTTTGCAGATCTATGTGAACAGGGATTGTTTTGACAACGTTACTTGTATGCAAGATTTGCAAACTGAAAACGTTTACTTTTATAGCACATCGTTGTTGTGTAAACGTACCCTCAGTATCTGGAGAGTTCATCTTCAGCCTTGATCAAATGCATCTGATCAAGTTAATCAAGGCCTGGAGTATATTTGAAAACTAAAGGTCTGTGTGTTGGAGCAGGTTGCCCTCCAGGAGTTTGGCACCCCCTTTTTCCACTTCATGTTTTTGTCTTTTGGAAAGTAAACCTTTTAATTAATATTAAATGAAAACTTATGTTTTAAGTCAAATCATAACTAATGGTTTTAACCCACCCACACACACACACACACACTCAAGTATGTATATATATATATATATATATATATATACTGTATATGTATAGATGTCAACAATTCTGTGTTTTTCTGTCAATATGGGGTGCTGTGTGTACATTAATGAGGAAAAAAAATTAACTTAAATGATTTTAGCAAATGGCTGCAATATAACAAAGAGTGAAAAATTTAAGGGGGTCTGAATACTTTCCGTACCCACTGTATATATATACTGTATATGTATATCTACTTACTAATACCACTACCACCCATGTGAACTGTATTCTGTGAATACAAATTGGATGTCACACTGCAAAAAGTCTGTAGCTCTTTTAAAACAGGTGTTCCATAGACAGAATTTCATTGTGCCTGGAAAAGCATTTTTTAAGAAATACTTTTTATGTTTAATCATTTTAATAAATATTTGTAAATTATGACATTGAGGGAATACTGTTGTAGTCTATCAGCATGCAAGCTGAAATGCGATGGACACAAAATGGCTAAAACAAGCAGAGGCCACACATCCGGCGATGGATAATCAGTCAATGTATGCATGACCTCTGTGACACACCAAGGTGGATCTTGTAAGCATTTATGTTTCTAGTTTGATGCTGGTAGAAATGTGTGATATGGTCATATAGACACAACAATTTTGTAAAAGAAATCAAATATGAGGTTGACGTGTCATTGCCATGATAAGCACAAATTAATACTCTGTTCTTTCAAAGGATTTACATATGAATAAATAAATTTTTACTGTTGAAAGAGGTTGTCAAATAGAAATGTGCAAGAATTCCAGTTCACCATAAAAGCTACTCTGAAATTGTGCACAGTATGAAAGTGCACCCCTAAACTTAATCCTAGAGGAGCATAAACAGAACAGACGACTGAGATTTCTTAAGAATTAATACGAATTAGCTACCACATTCATATATGTAGAGCCAACATACCTCTGTTCCACGACAGCTTTCCAGCATCCCTCCTCCACCCCAGCTCCTCTCTCTCATTTTTCCTTTCCTACTCAAGGATGGGGGGAGTACTTTGGGTTTAAGTCAAATTTCGAGCTTTGAGCTCTCTCCTCGGACAGTACGCCAAATTCATATTCTATACTGTATCTGATTAAGTGCAAAATTGCAAACTCTGATATAAATTAACTGAATGGTATCTTAGGCTAATACAAGTCTTTTTGCATTTGGTTACATATCTAGAGGCTACTAGAGTTGACCAGATCCAGGCCCATCTTGATGTTGCTGCCCAGTGTCTACAAACTGCGCCATGTGCCAAGAAACCACTTGGCATTTCAGTGGATCAACATCTGCATCTCCTGGCCTTCCATAATAAACCACTAGATTAACTACTTTAGCTGCATCTGCATCTACCTGGACTTTACCATTCATTCCTGGATGGTCCTCACAGATATATTGTACTGCTAAATGTGGACAATTAGCTATTACAGTATTCTAAGCATTAACATTAACATCATGAATATACATTGTTGGATAGCAATCATATTGAAGTGAAGTAATGTGTAGCCAAGTATGGTAACCCTTATGAAAAAGAAGTTTATTCAAGTGTGCTATTAGTATACGTCTTTTAAACTAAAAACAGGAAAGTATACTTTCAGTCTAATTTTTATGTACTTCTCAGACATGGGCTTTATGTACTTCTCAGAAATATACTTAAAATGACATTTAAGTATACTTGACTTATATTTAGAAAAAGTCTAAATATATCTGAGCTATAGTTGTGCTCCGAGAATGTTTTCATTGTTATCCGGTAGGGGGGGCTAGTACACATCTTCTGTACAGAATTTCCAAAACACAAGAGAAGAAAAAAAACGAAACAACAGATGCTTCCACATGTATTCTAACATGATCATCAAACATAAAACAGCATCAAAACTGTGTAACGTTATGGAATAAAATGTCGACCAATGAAGAGGTAATAATAACTGTCAAGCTGTGGGGTGTTGATCGACTTTATCTACGTTTCGATTATCATTCTAAATCCAATTAATAGTCATTTTTCAGCTTTTTGATAAAAAATCCTGTGTATTTCTTTATTTTTTTATTTATAAAACTTACCCACATTCAAGTGTTTAAAAAAAGAAAGCATGAAGCTAGAATAGAATGTTTTTGGTTATAAGCAGATACCCTGTTCTTTTGATGTTTTGTATGTTCAGATATTCATGTAACAAAATATATACAAATTAAAAGCCATATTCGGAATTTGTGCTCTGCATTTAACCCATCCAAGGGCACAGATACAGCAGTGAGTAGTGAACACACACACACACAACGTGAACACACACCCAGAGCAGTGGGCAGCCATTTTTGCTGCAGTGCCCTGGGAGCAGTTGGGGGTTCAGTACCTTGCTCAAGGGCACCTCAGTCATGGGTAATGTGGGTGGGAGAGAGTGCTGTTCATTCACTCCCCCACCTACATTTCCTGCAGGTACCAAGAATCAAACCCACGACCTTCGGGTTACAAGTCCACAACTACCCCTAATACAACACTTTACTTCCTGAGCCACCAAGTTTGTAAGAAATGTAAGATTTCTTAAGAATTCAAGCAAAATATTTGTATAGCATATGAAATTTAAACAAATACAGTTTAAATTCAAAAAACGGTAAAAATGCAAACTCATTTTAAAATAAAAACTCATGTCATGAGAGTTTGTTGAATAAGGCACTAATGCTAGAACCAGCTAAAACAGTTCCAGCAACATAAGTGTGGGCTTAACAATAGATAAGAATATAACTGAATTAGCTTTTTGTTTTCGTCCCAATTATACCTTTATATAATGACAAAAGAAAACTGTAATCCATGGGCAACAGAATAGGTCCACTTTTGTCATTAAAAATGTTTTACCTCCAAATAAATTAACAGTAAATTTAACAGATATGCTCAAACTGATGTGCACATGAGATGAGGAGTCCAGTCATTTCAGTAGCCTAATAAAAGCTGCTTGGCTTTTGGGATGAATCACCTTAGGAAAGCTGCCATGAAACCCTATGACCAGCCGATTCTCGTTAACACCCCCTTGAAGGACTTGCTTTTGCTTTTGCATGATGCTGCATCCTCACCAGTAGGTGTCAGTATGAAGTCCAGGAATACTTACTACATTAATTAAAGCTGTTATATGTGTTATATACACAATATAAGCTGTTATCAAACTTGATGTTAGTAAACTCAAACAAGTGAGTAAATTGCATGATTACCTTCCTGTTCCTCGCATCATAATTCAGTTTCAACATCAGTTTCATGACCATTAATTTATTTGGTAAGTAGCCTGTTGGGATACAAGCAGTAGTGACTGTATTTGTGTGCAAAAAAAAAAAAAGTCCAACTGTAGTAAGAGAATAGCATTTTGATATTGTTTGTTCAGTATACACTGTACTGTACATGTGCACTTTGTGAAATGAGACTCATTAATGCACATATTTAATAGAGAACTGTTTTGGATCAATCATGACACAAACAATCTTAATAATAGCTAAGCACCAATTACCCACAAACCGACATTATATATCTTGTATGTGTTCCAACATTTCAATGTAGACTTTAAACAATCTGGGATATCTCTGGGAAGCATTTGTCCAGGCTGAAGTGCAATTTAAAGTTGTACAGATGGTTTACTACAGCTTGTAAGCAGACAAAAATTGGTGTGTGTTTTTTTTCCTTAGGTAATGTTTCAAGAGGCAATTACTCAAGTAACAGAAATAATTAACCCAGTCTGCCCATTATCCCAACACAAAACATTCCTTTTAACTTTACAAATAATATTAATAACAATAAAACAAAAGTTACTACAAAGTAACAGTGTAACAGTGCTTGCAGCATTTTCCACCAGTTATATTGCAAACCTTCAACACTGGCATTAGCAATAATGCATTCAAGTCAATATCACTGTTGCACATTTTCAAAGCCAAAATGTGTAATTTTTTAGGATCTGAATTTTTTTTCTCCTATCCCAGTTTAATATGCAATGACAGTTTCAACAAGCCATTGAGCACGAGCATCCCAGCCAGTCTGACATAACAACCTTGGCAATAGTTAGGGGCAGGACTATCTGTTAGTCTGACCATTGAAAAGTGGAGAATAGTGCTTATTAAGAAACCTGTTTGAAAATTCTTATGTGCGCAATTTTTGTAATTCCATTTGGTCAATATAGTGGTGCAGAAATGACACGCTTCAGCTTCAACATCATTTCATTAGTTATTTCAGTACTTATTCTTATGTATTAAATTTCCAACCCTTTGAATGAAACGGCCAATTCTATTGTCATGTCCCTGCGTCTGCTGGTTTGTGTAACTGCTATGATCATTCATGGGCTGTTTTCTTAAAAAGACAGAATTCCTTGTTTTCTCGCTTACGTGACTCTGTGCAGGTACATAGGCAGGCTGGCCTACTGTGGGACGCCTGCTTTCAAATGAGCAAAGCGGCTCAAATCTGCTATACAGCCTGTTTACTGATACTTGTTGCTTTGACACCAGATCCGATCTGGTTAGTGGCGAGTCTGTCTTCTCGTTCTGAGAAACGACTGTGGATTGTTCCTGTGTTTTGGAAGTCTCTGCACTTGCAGGTGTGTGAGGCGGATGAAGCTCTTCGGTGATAAACCGAGGCGCAGATGCCTCTCCCGCCAGGCCAGGAGAGTGATTCTCAGCTCCAGGGATCTTCCCATTAGCTCGCTTCAGTCTGCTGCTCTCAACGGACTTGGTGGAATTGGTAGTGCTACCCTGGTGTTTCTTGCTTTGCACGGTGTCATCATAATCTGAGAGAATCGTATCTGTGCTGCTTCCCATTTTGAGACTTTCTGAGTTCTTTCCTTTCGGGGAGCTGTCCCCCTTTTGTGGGATGTTTAGAAGGGATTTTATTTTCTTGGTGCTCCTTTTCAAGAAGCGCTGCGATGATGCGCTGTTTGGTTTCGAAGGCTGACTGTCCTCCGTGTCCAGAAGCGTTGCTGACACAGTTCTCGAGGGAGGCTCTTGCCATTTGTTTCCTGAGGTAGTTTTGCTCTCATCTGCCTTTTTGAAATCATGATGTGAGACGGACCTCTGGTCCTCTTTGAAATTTGGTGTGTACGCTGCATTTCTGGGATTCTCGTTTGCGGACACGTTGCAGACTTTCTGTCTTCTAGGTAAAGATGCGTACATGTAACTAGAGGGCTCAATAAAGTCACTGTTATATGTATTGCACCTGGGATCGGCCAAGCTGTGCCTTTTGTATCTGTCATCTTGCTGGTAGTCATGCTCCTTGTTTGCAAATCGATTTTTGGCTCTGTTTAAACTTGCATATATTGCATCCCTTCCGGAGCTATAGGTCATGTTACTTCCTGAGTTTTCTAAAATCTGTAAACTGCGCCTCTTCAGCAAGTAGTCATCGTGCTGTGCAGTCTGATTCCACTGGGTTGAGGAATACATCTGAGTGTTTGACTGAATTCGTGCCGGATCGTGGTTGGAGGACGCTGAATTATTGGAGTAGCTGTTCGTCTCTGGTTGTTCCGGTATGGTGGACGTGAAAACAACCGATGATCTGATACGAGAGTGTTGCAGAGGAGCCATTTTATTCTCCTCAAATTGGTCCAGATAATCGTAGTTCTCGCCGTAAGGTGCGTCGTTGCTGTTGTTAAGGTAAGACTCTATCCTCCATGTCCGAAGGAAGGACTTGGAAGTACTTGCTAAACTGGGCAGGTTTTGCCTCATGTTGAGAATTTGTTTGTCGTGGCCGTGGTAAGACTGGCGCATATTTAAGCCTCTGAACATCGGGTTGATGACGTAACTTTCATACTGGTTGTCCTCGTTGTTGGAGAAACCGCCATAACGGTTGCTCTCTGCTTCCACGTTCCAATTACTAGAGCCATACTTGGGCAATTTTGGCAGATACGCAGGCTCCTGCCGTTCTCCTGCGTAGCTGTGTCTTTTGTAAAACTCTGATGTGTCTTGAAGGAATCGAGCATGCGGTGTAACAAGTGGTCTTTCTTCAACCTCTCTCAGTGCCGAGAATCCTGATCTCCTTTCACAGGCTTGCCGGTAAACAGCGTCAAGCGTGTGCCTTAAATGATCTTTCCTTTCAAAGGGGTGGCTGGAATGAATCAGATATCCATCCATTTTTCCATTGGGCTTCGTCTCACACTGGTTCACACTGGCAGTCTGAAACTGAGCTGGGACTGTCGATCGAGCGTACAACGTCCGAAATTCCTCATCGTAAGTCTCCACTAATTGGCCTGTTATAACCTGAACCATGCTGAGGTTGATCTTCTCGTAAGACCACATGAAGCTGTCAAACAATAAATGAACATAAGCATAGTTATTAAATTCAGTCCTAGCAACATATGCAAGTCTGTTGGAATGCAGTTTATTTTGGGTAAGTTTTAAATGACTGCAATCCTTTGAAAAATGCTTCTGAAAGCCAGAAGTAGTCAAGTAGTCATTTCTGAGAATCCCAGAAATAGAGCGTGCAGACCAAATTTCAAAGAGGACCAGAGGTCCGTCTCACATCATGATGTGCACTCTTTGTTGACATATGTTAAATGTTTTTGGAGTCCTTATATAAAGTGGCCCAGAGAAGTATATGGACACTTAAGACACATTTTTAATGCATTTTTAAGCATAAATGGCTTTGGATTATAATGCAATAGTCATTTATTTTCATTTGAGCAAATCACTTCACAAAAAATTATACACATTACAAAAATAATAATAATAATAATAATAATAATAATAATTACAAAAATCTAAATTAATACCCTGAAGGAAACCCCCCCCCCAAAAAATTATTATCATTAAATTAATTAAAAATAAAATAATAATAAAACAAATGCCGCCTCACCTGTATGATCCAAAAAATACTTTTTGGCAGTCAACAAGAAGAAATTTCTGCCCCATTCCTCCATGGAACTTTACCCCTGATTTGCAACAATATTCCTGGCCTTTCACTGTGCGTATCCTCATATTCTATAGCCAAGGGGAAAAAAAGATAGATATATTTTAGCAAGAAAACAAGCAAATATAAATATGCAAGTATGCATATATGGCATGCTGTCTGAGGGGAGGGCTCTGAGCTCAGAATTTAGCCCGAACCCAGAGAACTCCCTCACTATCCCAAGCTGGGATAGGAATAGTTAAGAGGGAGGAGTTAGGGTGGAGGAGGGAAGCCAGAAAAAGGTAAGTTGGCTGTCTACATATTTACTATTATGCTAATTAAGTTGATTATCTGAACGTGCTCTAACTGTGCTAAATTGGTTGATTATCTGAACTGCTCCTCCCAAGCTTTGTTAATAAAACATCATTAAGTAGGCCTACCACAATGTTTCGGGCACAAGCCTGAATGTAATTAAGAAATGTGGTAACACTTAAGATTAGGGAACACTTATTCACTATTAACTAAGAGTATGCCCTCAATAGACTGCAAATTTGCTGCTCATTAATAGTTAGTAAGGTAGTTGTTAGGTTTAGGTATGGGGTGGATTAAAGGATCTAGAATATCCAGAATATGCCATCAATATGTGCTTTATAAGTACAAATAAGCAGCTAGTTAATAGTGAATAGTGTTCCCTAATCTAAAGTGTTACCAGAATTTAAATTCAATTTAAATTAGTTTTGTTCTGAGAGAGTTCTCAAAAAGTAGTAATGAATATATGACTGATTGCCCTTAGTGAATATAATAGATTATTAAAAAGTCTGATGCAACTTAACTTCCGCCTTAATTTTCTTTCTTGCTGATGTGACAATTCTTTTTTACTATTCCTCCAACCACCTTTTTTTCATTCTGGTTTGTAAGATGTACTTTTCATCTAATCAATTCCCAATGAACAAAGTCCTGTCCAGCATTTTTTTCCTACTGAATATCCCTTTTTACTCAAACATATGTGACCCTGGAGCACAAAAGCAGTCTTAAGTCGCTGGGGTATATTTGTAGCAATAGCCAAAAATACATTGTATGGGTCAAAATTATTAATTTTTTTGTTATGCCAAAAATCATTGGGTTATTAAGTAAAGATGATGTTCCATGATGATATTTTGTAAATTTTTTACCATAAATATATCAAAACTTAATTTTTGATTAGTAATATGCATTGCTAAGAACATAATTTGGACAACTTTAAAGGTGATTTTCTCAATATTTCGATTTTTTTGCACCCTCAGATTCCAGATTTGCAAATAGTTGTATCTCGGCCAAATATTGTCCTATCCTAACAAACCATACATCAATGAAAAGCTTATTTATTCAGCGTTCAGATGATGTATGGATCTCAGTTTCAGAAAATTGACCCTTATGACTGGTTTTGTGGTCCATGGTCACATATGTTGTATTTGTTGTTTCATTTTACACAGAGACATTAAGTCTGTTTAGCAGAAACAAAATGAAAGGCAAACAAACCTCATTATTGCTTTGCAAACAAAGATAATGACAGTAAGTCTGTCTGGTGAGGCCAAGGGTCCTTTCTTATCACTGCTGCTAGAGCGACAAAGCTGTTAACATGTATATGTACCATCTGTGTGCACCCAAACAACACTAATGACGATGGGCATGTCTTGTGCAACTGTAAAATGAAAGTTTCTTGTGTCCACGGTGAAGAAAGTCTGTTAGATTTCATTTAAAATAGTAAATCAACCATAGAAATTTCAGGATCTGCATCAGTTGCTGTTGCTATGCTGTGCGTAGTGACATTTGAATATATTGAGTTCACAGACATTCAAAAAATGTCAGTAGCAGAAAAAGGTGTGGTGAGAACAAAATCTTAATTGCAGCTTGTTTTTCATAAAATAATAGTTAAAGCCCTCTGGGAAGAAGTGGGAGGGACAGTGTTTCCATTTCATAGCTTCTTTATATGGCTCGTCATCAGAACATGAATGTTTCCGTCATATTTGACAAGAAAGTCCAAGTGAGTAAATGGTTAACTGATTTGCTCACAAAGAGCAACGACGGTCTTTAGTTGAAATTGATCAGGTCGAAAATATTTTCGAATATTCTTTTGGTGGTTATGTACAGTATATGTTTAAGTTTCTCAAAGAACAGCTCTTTCATTTCAACAACTTTCATTTCCTTTATTGCCCTGAACAAAGAACAAAAAGGTCTGAGAGACGAGAGCTCCGTAAAAGTAACAAGAGTAACAGCATGACAGTTATGCAGATTGCTGTTGACATTTAGTTTTTCTGGTTATGCGTTCTGTCAATCAAATTTTTACATTGACATCAGCCCCAGCCATCAGCTAGAAGAATATAATGCAGATAAATGAGGAAATCTAGTCACATGCAGGAATCAAATATATGTATCTAATAACAAAAATTGCATTTGTTGCAATATGTTGATTCAAGAGCTTCAAAATGCAGCTCTTGAATCAACATGGTCACAGATATACAATTGCTGTCCCCTGGGAAGGTCCTCCTCAAGAGCTTGAAAGCCGCAACTGCATGATGTGTTTAAGTGATTTTGGCCAGGAATAAAATCTGTGTTTCTCTCAGGATGACAGAAAGCCTTTTTAGCACAGTTGTATTTTCATTATGCCACAGAGAACAGGGATGCTTGTCAAACAGAAGTAGCATCATACTGTGTCTCTCTTTCTCTTGGCTGCTTGGTTGATGTTGGAGCTTGAGATACACTCACAGTCTCGCTCCCTCACAGTCACAAGTACATTTGATCATGATGCAAAAGCCATGCCGAAATATGCTTATGTGGGTAGACGTGTAAAAACTGAGCTTCATCTTATGACACTATTCCTGCCATTACGTTTGCAGTTGCGTCTTCTTCGTCCTTTGATTTGTTGCTTTTAGTGTGGTGTTCTGGTTAATGCACTTCCATAGTAAAAATAATCTTTATGGCTCTGTTTGAAATATTTTACAAAATTAAGAAATGTTAATAAAATTAGTCTTCAATCATTGCAAGGAATGTGTGTTCATTTTACAAATGAAACTAAACTGCACCATATTTATGAAATGGTCATTTATTAAAGGGGTCATTGATTATGATTTCACCTTTTTAACTGTAGTTAGTGTGTAATGTGGCTGTTTGGTTGTAAACAACATCTGCAAAGTTACGATGCTCAAAGTTCAATGCAAGGGAGAAATTGTCTTTTACAGAATTCACATTGTAAGGCCTACAACAAACGGCTGGTAGGGACTGCAACGAGCTACTTCCTGTGTCAGTGACATCACAAACCCTGAAATGTGCATAAACCCCGCCCCCATGCAAAAGAGGGGGGGGGGGGCCATGTTGGGCTGCTTTAAGCCTTCTACACACTGCACAATTTTAGCAATGCTATAAGATCATTATAAATCACTCTGTGCAACATGGATCTAATAAACTTGTACGACATGCATGCAATACTGTACGATGATGACACCTCGTGACATGTACAGTAGACTATGATGCAAGTTACTATTGAAGAATAAAATTTGCATGCGCTAGTGGTAAACAAAAAGAGCATGGCGAAGCATAGTTTGGCAGTTGTACATTTTAAGTTTGCTGACAAAAGAGGAAGATGTGAAAGAGGAAGTTAAAAGAGTTTGAGGTAAGCAGTTTTAAGTGTTAGCGCCATGTCACGTTGATTTCATGTTGCATTTTTATTGGCTGGCCAGTAAACGTGGGTCATAACAGCAAACACAGTGTGCAATGATCATGCTGATTTTCTGACACTGTGAAAAAATATTTGCAGGCTATCTTTGGTTGCAAGACCTTGACAACGGTCATCTCAGAACGGCTCTACACACTGCATGAGTTTCAGCTGTCTCAAACAAAAGATTGTGAAACAGTTGTGGCGATTTCTGTGATTGTGGCTCCTAAACAGTGGTCCTGTGACATACAGTGAGATAGGGTTGTGACGGTGAGGAAATTTTCCCACCGGTTAATCGACGTGTGACAAAACAGGTAATACCGGTATCACCGTGGGGGCGGGGGCGTTCTCTCTTTTCCTGGCTTTCCTTTGCTTTTATCCTCGAAATAAGTAAACATGTATAATATATAACCAAATAAATAAGAAACGTAGAACGTTTATTAGCAAAACGAGTAAGAAAGCTTGGAGGCACGGCATACACCTTGATGTCAAATAAAATAAATAAATTACATTTAGTTTAAATAAAGTAAAAATCAGCAAACAATGTAGAACCAATTAACGTCTATCGCGACAAGCCTACAGTGAGAGAGGTTCAAAGACGGCCGTTGTCACAGTTATGACCAAAAACATGGCCATTGCACAGAGTCATACACACAAAGTCACAACACCATCATGGTAACACACATGGTAACACACTGTATTTGTGTGCGCTCATTTCTTAAATAGAAATTAAATTGAGCCAGAATGATCTGGAACAGCATTTTGACTGTTTGTTTTTGAGTTGATTTCATTTCCTTATGTTTCAGTACAGAGAGTATGTTTTGATCCAGTACACACATTCTGTCTCCTTTAGCGAGCACACTCAATCGAGAAAACCCTTTCATGCACAGGTTCATACATTAAGCAATATGCTTCCCTCTTGTCAATGATAGAGAGGCAATGTATTTTTCTAGAGCGGCACTGTTCTCTTGAGCAGAACGGGACGCTCAGACACACTCAGACACGCACTGCACTTCGCTTCACTGCCTGCTCTGCGTTTCAGTGAAACCACACAATGAAACGCAACCAAATGCACACTTTCTGATATGCAGTAGCACAGTTGGCTTATTAAAAGGTGTATACAAGGCAAAGCCAGAATCATACCACTGGACCAAAACATAACATAAAGGTGTTTTGGAATATTTATCCGTCTCTATATTTGTTTTGCACGTTTGTTTTCTAGCAAACATATTAAAAAGGGTGTTAATACAGTAAATGATGCTGTTTTGGGATGGAGGTCATTTTGATGACACATGACTTGAAGGCAATATACAGTAGAATATGGGCACTTACCCTGAGTTTTTGGATTTGGATGTCTTGTTTTTCTGTCATATTGAGAAAGCATTTGAAGTGATTGTGGTCGAGGAGAATGTAGACTGGAACACCTCTGACTGAGGCATCCACCACTTCTTTAAAGATGTCCACATCAGTGAAAACATCCATTGCGATTGCTATGACCTGTATAGACATAAAAATGAAAACGTCAACCTAACGTCAGGATTTTGGGGCATTCGCTTTCAGAACAGGCAGTCTATGATATTCTCTTAAATCAATGACATCCCTGTCAGTTACACAAAGCTGAACAATGCAGAGGTGCGAAACAGAGGTGTCAGCCCAGAAGCTGCTTCGGTTTATTAAAACGGCACCCTTCGTTTTTCTGCGTTTTCAGAAAAATCGCATCTAGACCGATTTCAATAACTTGAAAGGTGGCTTTCATGAAACCGACAGGGGATGATATGTATTTTCTTGGGCCTTTTGCATAATATTAAACAGAAAGAAGTCAGGGGAGAAGACTGTAAAAGGTCTAGTCCTAGCATTTGTCTTTCAGGAAGACCGACATTCCTTGATTCAAGCCTTGACAGGTTTAAGATGTTCCGTTAACGCTGAATGACAACGAGTCTTAGCGTAAGTCGTATCTCGCCACACCCTGGACAACATGTACTGATTAACAAATAATTAATAAAGAATTTCTACAGAACTTGATGAGACCTTGTCAGTATGAACAATGTTGTCCAGCATATAATCTTGACAGACCTTTACAGTTTTGTATTTCAAACAAAGCAAAGAGGGGCTTTATGAGAGATTTTACCTTGACTCGGGTTGTATGGTACCACTCAAAGATGCACAACAGGGGTAAAACAGCAATATGAAAAAAGATGCTTCATAAAATAAAGGTTGGAAATAAGCAAGCCTTCAATTATGCTTGTTTAGCTCATCAATTCCGCACACGCTCACGTTTTTAAACTGAGTATATCTTGTTTACTTAGACATAATCATAACCCATGTGTTTTCCTACATGCAGTCCTTTTCATTTATGGCTCACATTGAGAGTCCTCATGCATTCTTATTCAAAGTGTCTCTTCTCATCCCCATCTTAAGGAGCCGTTCCGCCTTTCTAATTTACTTGTTCATGTGTCATTGAAATACTGAAAAGGCTTCCTTACTGCCAGGCAGAATCAAAGCTAATAATATATTTTTACTGCTTTTAAGATTCCTTTGTTCTGAAAGCACGAGTACAAGTAAAGCATACGCAACACCGCACTGGGAAATACAAGTAAATGCTTATAATGGCAATTATGATTTAAAAAGCTTGCAAAAAAAAAAGAAGAAGACATTTCTCACACCTGCTTTCACACTTTTATGCAAAAACCCATCAACAACCCATTATACCAAAAAACGAAGTAAAATTCCCGGGAACCTCACACTGCTGATGTGCTGTCGATATATTCCATTATATAATGTTCTATTGTCTAAATAATTGAAACCGCCTTCAGTTTAATTGAATCTTGGCTAGTATATCAGTCGATATCATTTGGCACCATAGATGAGTACCGTCCCCCCAAACACACCTGACAAGATACTGTATACATTGCTCAAGTGTTTCATTGCTGTGAGTCGACTCTAGGGAGCACATGTAATCAGAGCGCCAGAGCCACACAAGGTGCAGTTCATTCAGCACACTGAGATTGGTTTGTAAACCCACAGCCTCGTGAGATGCTGTCCTATGTGGTCGCCTAATGGGTCTGACTCTGCTCTGCACGGGGGGAAAAACTGAAAAGTGATCCATGGTCGGTTAAGAGTTTTGTTCACATGCAAAATGTCGCGCTTCTTGCACTGAAAATGGAAGCCAAATATTAACATCACTGAATCATACCAACAAATCTAATTTTGATCGGTTAAAGCAGGTAGAAGCAGCTCTTTAAGGAAACAATTGTAGGTTGCCACATAATGAATTAATAACTTTAATTTATTAACAAATTAATAATTAATAATGAATTATACCACTATAAGCAAATCCAACCTTAAACAGATACATACTGTACACGTTAAGTGGTATCTCAACTTCTTGATAATTAATACCATTGTAAAATGTGAACAATATTATCGCCCAGCAATATATTGAAAGTTACAGTAGATGTATAGTACATCCAATTTTACTTGAGTACAATATACTCACAGAGAGCAATACTATATGTGACCCTGGAGCACAAAACCAGTCATCAGTAGCACAGGTATATTTGTAGCAATAGCCAACAATACATTGTATGGGTCAAAATTATAGATTTTTCTTTTATGCCAAAAATCATTAGGAAATTAAGTAAAGATCATGTTCCATGAAGATATTTTGTAAATTTCCTACCGTAAATATATTAAAACTTAATTTTTTATTAGTAATATGCATTGCTAAGGACTTAATTTGGACAACTTTAAAGGAGATTTTCTCAATATTATATTATATTTTTGCACCCTCAGATTCCAGATTTTCAAATAGTTGTATCTCGGCCAAATATTGTCCTATCCTAACAAACCATACATCAATGGAAAGCTTATTTATTCATCTTTCAGATGATGTATACATCTCAATTTAGAAAAATTGACACTTAAGACTGGTTTTGTGGTCCAGGGTCACATATAGCAAATTTATGCTGCTTGAATGATAATTTTGGTACAAAAGGTGAACTATATTATGGCTTAGCTCTACATGTAAAGTTGGATATATAGAATATCTAACTTTATCTGCATACATACAGTATACTCGTGTAGGACCATATATGGTACAGCAAATCTCAAAAGTGTGATTGCTTGTATCGTTGCAAAATGTAAACTATATTATTATCGCTCAGCTCTAATTGGCTAAATATGACTATATTAAAATATTATAAGCATTAACATCACATAATGCTGTAATGCATGTTGGGAGCTTGCAATTTAGGAATGTGTTCAATAAGAAATTGTTTTTCAGAGAATTCTGTTTGGCTATCAGGGACAAGACTTGGGAGAAATCAGTCATTTTGTTTTTGCATTGTTATGTAGACTGTAGATTATCATGATAGTAAGTAATGATTCACAAATATGTATTCATTAAGACACCTTTCAGAATTCAATGATTTTCTCCACCTACATATGGATTGGGAAGAAACATAAAGTCCATTATATAATGCTTAATCAAATGATAAGATCACATCCTGTTTTTTGGGGGGGTTTTTTATTATAAAGTCATCAAATTTGACCAACAGTGAATTGATGAGAGCAAATGTGGATGATATTGTTCTCAATCACAGGCATGTATCTCAGTCCATCTTTGTACGTTGTTCATTAGAAGCTCTTAGACGTGCTTCCTCATTATTAAATGAGCCAGGGCTTTAATCATCTCTCATAATCAAAACACAAAGAAGACTGCATTGCTCAGAAAGGAGACTTTGCTTTCTCACTTATTACTAATAAAGACTGCTCCACACCCCAGAAGCAAGGTTTTCTTTGCATGACAAAATGTTTTTTTTTTGTTTTTGTTTTTTTTAATGTGGTAAAGCTTGCTTCTCATAGGCACACCTAGATATTTCTGGCACGCCTGTCTCATCAACTGCAAAGGGAGTGATCATTTCAGCATTGCACATTGCACAACTAGTTCCATTGTTTGCTGTGTGTTTGTTCAGCACAGTTTAGCTGCCACTGTTGCTGGGGAGAGACTGCTGTAATGTATACATGACTGATGCCTGAGGGAGAAAGTGATGTACCTGGCCTTATCACATCTTTAGCAAGAGTTCAAGACATCACAACTGTGGGGCTGCTTTCAAAAGCCAAGATTTAAAGGAAACCAATTCACAGCGTCCTCTGTGATTATCAAAGAATCACGGGGTGAACAGGCAGGGCAGTGAAAATGGTTGGCACTTTTCCTATACTCCTGTAACAATGCAACGGTTCATTGCTCTGACAGACAGCAACGCTGCTCTCATTAGTGCCTTGTACCAAAAACATATACAAGATTATGGACACCTACTCATTAAAACTATTCAGACACAGAAAGAAAAAAAAAAAAAAACATTCACTACATTGGTGTATGATATTTCAGAGTCAGTTTAAGGGTTTAATCCTGAAGCCAAATTCCAAAACAAAGAACCAAGAAATTGTATTTTGCTTTCATTTTCATGGCAATTAAGCGCATAAAAACTATAGTAACTATAGTAATTGCATTAACTGTGAAATGACTGTGTAATAATCATTTAAGTCTGTATAGTTTATTTATATTACTCAGTACTTTATTTGGTAACTGCACTAAAAAAAATCCAATTTGCATTATCCTAAAGTCTGCATGAAATGGAAATACTCTATCTATTTTCTAAATTCATCTTATGGATCTCTGTGAATGATTCATCAATGCATTTTTTTTTTTTTTGGCCTTGTGATTTTTAATCAAAATGTCATAACTGGACCCTCCAGTCAAAACAGCAGATTCACTCTGGTAACAGATGCAGGACTTCTCCATTCATTTAGCCTACTTAAACCCCGCCCCTTTCTTACAACTGACTGCAAGCTCACATTCAGTCAGTCTGCCTCCATCCAATCAACAGCAGATGAGAGAATTTTGTGACTTTAATGAGAAAATAGAAATTTTGAGCTATCATTGAAAAAACAACACCCGTTATCGCCCACATGGACACCCACATATCGCTCGGTCCCCAGAGCAGCTGTAGGACTCTCTGACCACTGCCTGGTTCATCTTATACCGACTTACAGGCATAAACTTAAATCTGCTAAACCTGTAGTAAAGTCTGTAAGCAGTTTTCTTCCAATGAGCCTGCATCAGTGTGGAAAGGCCTGAGAGACATCACCAACTACAAGACACCATCCCCCAGCACTGAGGCCAATCAACAAAAGAAGCGCAATTATAAGATGACCGATCATCATTTCCAAAAGGAAAATATTCCCATTCAGAGTCAGAATCGGCGAATAACATTTGCAACACATCCTCACGGTACAACTTTTATTAGCCATTTGGCGATTTTCTCTCACAAATCTCACAGCTTACCCGCACGTTGTCTCCGTGTACTGGAAGCTTGTGACACTATAACAAATTCCTTGTATTTGCAAACATACTTGGCAATAAAGCTCTTTCTGATTCTGAATTTCTTGTACTGCCTCTCATAAATAAATGGGTGCTAAGACAACATTCAATTTAGAGGCAATTAATTGAATGTAAGGCTTTAACTCCACACTGTCAGGCATGTCAAACTTTAGCTAAATGTATCAAATTGAAGATACACAAAATGATGTAGCTAAAAATGGATTTTATTTCAGCCTGAGAGTATACTCTGAGAGCCTCTATGATGTTTTTTATGTAGTGTGCTAACATAATTTATTTAGAAAGACATGTCTTTGGGGGAAATTTTCTCTTTACTCTAAAGGTAGAAGCTGTCTGCAGGGCTGAACAGTGTAGAAAAGCATGTATATATGATAGGTGATTCCAGTGAAGATCAAAGACAAACTTTGTATCTCTACATTTAAAAGATCTCTGCTCATATAGCCTTGATCTGTTATTATTCGACCCTGAAGAAAAACAGCAAGCTATAATAACAACTCCCTCTAGAAGATGCCTAGAAAATACCTTTTAACCATAGAGGCACTGACCTTATTTCAGGATTTTTTTTTTCTCATATTATATGAAAAAAAAAAATAATAATAATAATAATAATTGGCCTTTTCGTAGCTACCTTTGTTTCTTTTTTTCTCCATAGACATTTAAAAATAGCAAACAAAAGAATTACAAACATTAATCTCAATTAAAAAAGTATTTTAAAATCATAAAAAAACGTACTTAAGACAAAAAGTGCTTACTTAAAGTTTTTGAACAAACTACTCATTCCACGAAGCATTGGCGGATGATGAAGCACAAGTGAATAAGTGAATCAATAACAAACATGGATACAAATACAACTATGATTTAAGTCATTGATTATTTATAGGTATACACTGAAATCCAATATATTTAAATGCATGCAAATATGAACAGTGAAACTAAATGAAAAATTTTTCCCAAGAGTGACCTTATCCACATGCCGCACCATCTTTGATTGTGGAAATTGGAAGGTGTAGAACAGTCTCCCTGGAGCAACCTGACAAGGGCGCAATGATGCATGGATCACCCCCTGTGGGTTTTGAACCCACAACCTTCCAATTACCAACCTGGGGTGCATTTCCCAAACAACAACGTAACTCGTTGATTAACCACCATAGTACGATGCATTGTATTGGAAACAAACTAGCTAGTCACGACTGTTTTCCGAACACGGTCGCATCTCCGTCATTTGAACCACATTAGTTCAACAACATAGGTCCATTGTTAATGACGCCATACGCATGTGGTGGAGGAATAACTTATGCTATTTAACTGATTAGACATCTCTAAGATGCTGCTGTATTGAACATGGCACCTACTGACTAATTTACTATTTTTTTGTTCCCTGTCATTTTGCTTTATTTGATGTTTGATTCATCACGGGTTCCCTCTTACGTCATACTCCGTTGTTCCCTTAGGCATTTATGCACATGCGCACTCTTCAAAAACGGCACTTACATTGGACGCCCAAAAATACATAATTAAAATGCATGGCCCCACTTTATATTAAGTGGCCTTAACTACTATGTACTTACATCAAAAATTAAGTACAATGTACTTATTGTGTTCATATTGTATTTCAAAACACTTTTGCTGCTATTGAGGTGGGATATGGGTAAGGTTAGGGACAGGTTTGTCGGTATGGGTTGGTTTAAGGGTGGGTTAAGGTGTAAGGGATGGATCAAC